GCGCATAGTCTAGGTCTCTTTGTTAATAAGTCTAACCGTTTACACCCTTTATTCTTACATTGCCTACATAAAAATAAACAAATAAAAATGATTGTTTCTAACATGCAGCCTGGGCTTGTTTTTCCTACAGGCCACTTAAATTAGAAAAATTGTTTTCCGTTTAATTAAAAGAACTCTTTACCCCTTGTAGGACAGCTGAGGTTCTGTGGTTTCAATTTTGTAAACTAAATATGCAATGGTATCATTGTATTTGCAACTACAGAACTAATATTATGGCGTCTTATAACCAGACTTTTTAGAGCTCCTAAGTGTTTCTGGAGGGTGGAATTTAACTGATGTTCCTTTCCCCAATAACTGGGATTAATATATATTCCTTTATCAATTTCCTTAATGATGGAAATATTTCTTTAATAAGTCTTGTGTAAGAGGCATAATGCGTAGTATTGTTCTTAGTGTGTGTATTTTGATTATTAGGGCAAAAAGATAGTAACTTTTTTTGAACATTTAAGTCTTACAAAATTTAAAAAAAAGTCCGTAAGTGTGTTAGTATAATACATACTTAACATGTTAGCATATCGGTTATCTGAGCAGATCTCAGCGAGGTTTTACGCCATGGTTGTTTGTTGGTTGGGGTTTTTTTCTGATGAGTCTTGAGGCATCATTTCTTAGAGATGGAAGTAACGCTGGACAAAAAGCTGTGCTCTTTGTCATAGCTACACTTAGATTACTTTTTTTGGTAGCAAAAAATTATGTAATGGACACTCCATCATACTTCTAACTTTGCATATATGGACATAGGCACTATTTCTAATTAACTAATTTTAGTGCTGTTTCTTCTTGGAATGGTTTTAATACCTTTTTTTGAGGATTTACCAGATATGTTAGAATGTATGTTTATTTACAGTACATTGACTGCTGGTTTTAGCACCATTGAAACAAATAGGTGGGAGAAGGAAATCAATGACAGACGAAACTAGACTGAACTCCAAGATACAAAGTACACACACAAAATACTAAAATGAGTAAAATAACTACCAATCCTTTGGCCTCGTTTAGCCTGTGTTGAAAAATATTCGTAAGCAATGCTCTACAACAATACGCTGAGGAACAAAACATTCACGATTAAAGTTGTGACAGTAGTAAACTTTTTTTTTTAACCTGATAATAAGAATTTTTTTAAATAAGAATTTTTTTAAAGAAAAAGTGAATCAACTGTTTGTAAGTGTCTCTTGGAAGCAGTGGAATGTGGTTGGAAGCAACAATAGGAGAAGTTAGTTTAAACATATTCTTTCTTACCTCTTCCCCCACCATTCCCTTCTTACAAGCAAACCTTCATATAGAGCTGTAAGGGAGATAGCTTTTTTAATTGTCACTAGGTACTACTGCAGTGAGATAAATTTTCTCACTGCAAAAACCAGTTTTAATAAAATAAAAATCCTATATATTCTTACCTAACTTACTGAGTTAATAAACCATCTCCTGCACTCCAGATTTTTGTTTCTTCCCGCTGGTTTTCCTATAGTGCTTTATATTCTTGAGGTGAAATTGTTTCTGCTCATACTTTCTGACCCACCTCTAGATGTAGCAGGATGTTACAAAGCTGGTATCCTTATCATGTGGGCAGTTTGCATTCTCTTGTAGCGTGTAGGGGAGAAAGCCATCACCGGAGATGCACCGTACTGTTGTGTCATCCACACATGAGAGAACTGCTAGAGAAGTTTTATTCTACTCAGATTTGGACTTCCCAAAGGCTTTAGTATGAATTTTGCTTACTTAGTGCTGAAATACTTATTTCCCATTTAACCTCTTCTCAGGCTGTCAAGAAGGATGTTTTCTAACTTGTAAGGTCACTTATGGAATCCATTTCTGTGTATGTCTTTATAACTTTTCTCCCTTTAGTCTTCCTGTGTGAATGCAGGGTTTTGCAATCGGAATTATTAAATGGTGTGGTGAAGTATATAAGATTTTCTACTTATTCCATGCCATCTGTCATCACATTCCCTGATTTTTTAATTATTTATTTTTAAGATTTCCAATCCTTTACTTTAGAAATTTAGTTTTTTCTTCCTGTTAGTTTCTGTGTTTCAGTTCCTACTCTGAAAGCTTGGTCTTAAGCAGATGATCATACTTTGTATGCTGGAAACCAATATACTTTTAAATTGCCATGCTGCCCCGCAATGCCCTTATTAAGTCTTGTATGCTTCCAGATTTTCATTTCATTTTCAGTACTTGGAGTCATATACAGAACAGCATCTTCGACATGTACCGAACTTCGAATGCTAAGCTGAAATTTAGAGAGTGTCAGCTTGCTGCTACAGTTTCTCTATTCTGGAAGCCATGGAGAGTGCCTGTGGGTCATCTCCAGATAGCCCCGTTTAGTAAGTGGTATCAGCAGAGGAGCGTAGCAGCCAAAATACAGAAACCTCTTCCTAAGTGGCTTGAATGTGGGGTGTGGGCAGGGGGAAACTTGTTGTATTTGAGATGTAGCTCATGGTTTTTCTTACTGGCTTAAAACTCTGCTTTTCTAAGATGCTTTGGTTAACATGTTGCCTGGTATTTCCAGCCTCTGTCCATAATAAGAATGGATCTGGCAGATAAAGATCACGTTGCCCTTGAGATATAACACAGCCTTTTTTGGGAGGGAGTGCTGCTCACTTGAATGCTTGGAGCACAAAGGACAAGAAGCAATTCTCATAAAGGTAGATCGTGGTCCTGCGTGTGGAGATGGAGGGATCTCTGTACTGTAGCTATGGATGTCCTGTGTTGAGGATAGGATGCCTTCCTTCAAGCTACCTGTATGCATCCCATCCTTCCTTTGTCATCCTTACTTTCCTCTTGGCAGTGTGAAGATGCCACCTGAATGGAAACAGTTGTCTGATTCCTGC